CTTGATGTTTCGGGACCCCACTTTGGGTCCCGACCCCAACTTTGGGAAACACTGCTTTATAAAACACTGCTGAGGGTCTTGATGTGGTTACCCGACGCCTCAAAATAAAATGGGCTTCATTTTTCCATAAAAACTAAAACATAATTGAATTAGCTTTTTATGCTGTTGATGGATACATAAAGGGAATGACAGGGATAGATTGATCTGGATAAACCTTCTGGTTTGGACAATAACACCCTACCAAATATTGTAAAACCTCTGGTGAACCGTTGCTCCTCCTGACCAGAAGGTGGCGCTCTAACATTTATTACAATCAAACTACTTCTGCATTTCCTGTCATTCCGTGAACGTTTTCCTCCGGTCTGAGCTAAAGTCACAGGCTTTGATTTTTGTTTTCAAGTAGACACATCAAAGAAGAATAAACTTATTTCTAGCCTTTCGTGATTTATTGAGGAAGAAGACGTTTTTTTCGCGAGGAAACCAACTCCGACAGAGCACCGGCTCAGGTTTGCTTCATTTTGTCACATGTGCGCTGTGGGTCAGCACGGTCATTCTGAAACTAAAAAGGCTGTTTATTGAGGTCGGTGTCAGCCGAGAAAAGATGTGAGATAAAATGTTTTTATAGGCTTGTTTTGGTTGTTTATTTAGGACAGATCAGGGGTCAGTTCTGCCTCTAAATCCCCAGACAAGCCAACCTCTAGCTTATCACGTTTTCCTTTAAAGCTAACCGAAGCTGACAGCATGAACTTTGACCCACGACTCATATAACTTAAGAGATATTAAAACGTTTTAAAAACCCGTGTGGTAGTACTTTCACTGGAACTGAATGTGTCTGTCCACAGGTTCTTCCTTCCCTCGCCTCCCACAGATGATCGTGTGTCCCCTGCGGTCTGGTTATTATGCTTCCCCGGGCGGGTAAAGAGTTTCTGGTCCGCATACGGTTCTCCTGGAGGCCGTTCTTCCAGGGCCGGTACCTGCTGCTGACCAACACCCTGAGCGGCGGAGTGATGCTGTCGCTGGGAGACATCCTGCAGCAGACCCGCGAGAACCGCAGGCAGCCCGGCAGAGTCCGAGACTGGGGGAGGACAGGTTAGCAGAGGGCAGGCTAATTTCTTAGTTCATTAGTGGATTAGCACGTGCTAAATTTATGGGCTGAATTTATAAACACTAATTGAGTTCTTTAAATGTTATTGATCAACATTATTGTCAACAGCTGAGGGTGAAAGCTGTCAGASGTGTTGGTCATATGTCACTTATCAGCTAGATCAGAGGTTTTCAAACTTTTTTTTTTTGCTTCCGACACACAAAATAACAGTTTCAGAGGTTTCAGATATTACTTGTTTATGTATGCAAACTTTGCAAATAACTCTGTTAAACACAAGGATAATTACTATAAACAAACCTAGAAACTATGATACAGATTTTTATTCATTTGTGATTATTTCAACAAAAAATTGCAATAATCATGATGAAAATATTCCATTAGCAGTGGCGGGCAGCACTAATCTAACAATTAGTTCCACTAGCCCTAAAACATTAACTCAAATATTTAGGTCCCCTAATTCTAAAGCGCTAACTCAAATATTTAGGTCCCCTAATTCTAAAGCGTTAACTCAAATATTTAGGTCCCCTAATTCTAAAGCACTAACGCACTGAAAAGTTTTAGCAAAAGCTAATTCTGAAGCACTAAAAGAACCCAGTCAACCCATGAACATTCTTCAACAAACATGAGTCACATATCGTCATGTTGCTCTCTTAAGACTTATCATTAACATTCCACAGCTGGATTTGGGTTCATATATTGTCACCTGGTGGAGAAGTTACACACATGAACAAAATGTGTGACAGTTTTCACTGTCTGCTGTTAACATTAACGTTGATCAATAACATTTATAAACCTTTGTAAGTGCTTCTAAATTTAGCAAGTGCTAATCCACTAATACATTTTAAAATTAGCAAAATCCCTAAAGCACTAATCAGGACATTAGTTCCCCTATTAGTGCTTTAGTGGAACTGTGCCACTGCCCACCACTGTTCATTAGCATTTTTTTACATTTAAATTGATGTCTGGAAATCATCCGGAGACCCTCACTTGATGTTTTGTGACCCACAAAGAAGTCTCGACCCCAACTTTGTGTACCACTGCACAAGATGAAATATTAACAATATTCTGCACACTAGTGTTGTAGTACTTGAAACCGGTCTTGGTCTTAAGACCGGTCTCAAGACCACATTTTGATGGTCTTGGTCTCGTCTCGGACTCGACAGCGTTTATACTCGGTCTTGTCTCGGTCTCAGACATTGAGGACTCYGAATTTTATTTCAAGACCAGTCAAGACCACAACTGCAGAAATATCACTAAATAGCCATAATGTGTCCTATTTATTAGTTAACAATCTTGCTTTTGTTGGATTTAAAACATACTGATTCAAATCCAAACCTGACTCGTTGCTATTTATGTGTTTTTGTTAGCAGCTGTCACCCATCCGCACCCCCCATCACTCGCACACAGCACTCCCAGAAAGTGAACCGTGGTTCTCTGGGAGCGGTAAAAGATGTGTTCAAAATCTTAAGTAAAAAATTTGGCTACATTATTCATAAATAATATATTGTAAAACAACAACAACCAGGAGAAAGCGTACAGCAGCTTGTACATTCTGCAGTGCTTCACTTTCAGAGACAGTGGGGACAACATCAAACTTACCATCACTAACGTTAACAATCTACTTCTGTAGCAAAATTCTTTCCTCTGCCCTCACACACAGATTTTGTCCATATTAGCTCTATATATTAAGTTACCTAAAGTGGAGAAAAAAGTATTTAGTCAGCACCAATTGTTCAAGTTCTCCCACTTAAAAAGATGAGCAAGGCCTGTGATTGACATCATAGTTAGACCTCAACTATGAGAGACAAAATACTATTTCCCCCACTGTACATGTGTACAGAATACTCCATCTTTTAGGGCACTTTTTTTTCTGGTCTTGGTCTTTTCTCGGTCTCGCCCTCCCTCGGTCTTGGTCTCGACTTGGTCCAAACCCTAAAAGTCTTGGTCTTGTCTTGGTCTCGCCCTCCCTTGTTCTTGGTCTCGACTTGGTCCAAACCCTAAAAGTCTTGGTCTTGTCTTGGTCTCGAGACGCTGTGGTCTTGGTCTTGACTTGGTCTCGGGTTAGGTGGTCTTGACTACAACACTACTGCACACAGAAAATATCTCATGTCGACTCTGAGGAATGTTCCATGAGTCAGCTGGGTTTTTAGTGCTTTAGAATTAGCTTTTGCAAAAAATTTCAAATGGGTTAGTGCTTTAGAATTAGGGGACCTAAGTATTAAAGTTAGAGCTTTAGGGTTAGTGCAACTAATTTTTAGATTAGTGCTGCCCACCGCTGGCGCTTAATCAGTGTGCATTGCCAATGCAATGCACACTATTGTGATCCGTTTCCCATCCAAGTCATCACTTTGGCACGCTTCTCCTCCTGCATACTTTGTCCTAGAGCTGCCATTGTAATTTATATCTGTAAAGCTCCTGTGCCAAATGATTGCAATGCCTTTTGGTACCTGTACAACTTATAGTTTTTGAAATATTAATGTTTAAAATCAAATAATGGGAGTCAATGGAGCCTTGCATGGGTCCAATACTGCCCCATGCTGCATCTACTCAGTACTGCACCATAGTTTAATAATATTTAAACTCAGTAGTTCAGTGTTTACAATACAAACATGATTGTATTTTGATATTTCAATATAATATTGTCCTAATATTCCTTTATTGTTGTAATATATTGCAGTTTAGCATCAACAATTGCATTGGCAATTTAGCCTCTTTCAGCACACATACAAACTTAACACTGGGAGAGCTTACTGCAACAGCTCCTATAGTCTCATGGTGAACACTATGGGCTTTCATGCAGGAGATCAGGGTTCAATCCCATCCATAAACATAATGTTTCATTACAACTACATATTTTCTAATTGTCATATTCTCACACAATTACCCTCATTACAAAAAAACTGCTGACTTGGCAGGCACAAGCTGGTACTTGATTAGCAAACACATTTCAACTTGGTCACTGTTCAAGCTGCAGGCAATGGCATGCTACAAGGCAATGCACACTTGTTTTTACATCGTAAAAACCCATGTCTAGTTATTCTTTGAAATATATTAAGATTACACATGAAATACAAGTAACAACAAGAGACAGTTGAATTAGATTTTAGCACATATGCAGATTTGCACATTTCATAGAACCACAAATACTCATCTTTTATTACTTCATGAAATGTCCCAAGAGTCTTTGCTGCCCGGGAGGACCTCAAGTGCACAGGCTTAAAAACAACAAACAAAAAATTGTGTTTCACTGCTCTGGCTTCTTTAATCATTAAAAATAAAAGGACTTTACTTAAAAAGTATTTGTATTTCATGTATTATGTTTCTGCATTGGATAGATTTTCATTTTGAACCTCATGGTGAAAAAGTCCTTAAACTTCAATCAAACTATTTTCAGCTTCTTCTGATTCTACAATGCCTTAAAGTTGGTTTTCTTGTCCACGTTCCTGTTGTTGTTTTAGCATCGTCCTCTCTGGTGCAGCCCTGTACGTTTTATGGTTTTAGTTTCAGTCTTGTTTCTCAGCTGAAGGTGGCAGTGACGCACCAAAACCAGGGGGGACTTATCGGGGAGTGGAATTTCCAGGGACTCCCTCAAAAACCTCACGCTGATTAAAAATAATTTACTGCCATTTTTAACCCCTTAACGCCACGACAGTAATGTTTTTGTTTTTATTTTGGATTAAGTGTTTGTTTTACTGGCCTGTTGGTACCTACCAGTAAATGTATAGACGCACTTTTTAAAATGAAAGGACCGTTACTAGTGATGGGTCTTCCTGTGCCGAAGCTTCGGAGCGTGTCGAGAAAACCCAGAAGTCTTCAATGAAGCGCGTGCCGAAGCTTGTGTTGTTAGGGGTGAGTGACGTCACCGGTGACGTCTGAAGCCTCGCTGGTTCAGGAAAGAGTTCGGGTTTTGGCTCGTTTCGTGAACTAAATGGATCACCACAGAACCTGTGTGCAAGTGTTTGTGTTGGAGTTTCACTGCTTTCTGACAGAGACGGTTATTTTTATGATGCCTGTTAAAAGCAGCCTTTCACCTGAGTGTTCACACTGATTTCTCCCTATGGTGGAACTAATAAATACTACAATAATACTTAAATAAATAATAAATAAATAATAATAAATAACAAAATAATACTTAAATAAATATTTCCGTAACACTCCCCATAAGGGTTTTCACAGAATTATGTTCAGTTTTAACAATTAGGTAATGAAATGTGTTACTAGTATTTTGCAGAGTACCATTTTAAAGGTCTAACTTTTTTGTTATCGCTCAATTTATTTATTGGAATTTTTGGGGTTAGAACCACAATAAAGAGCTCTGCAGATATAAGTTGTATATTACTGTTGTTGTTTTAGTGTTTTTTCTATTTCAAAGTGAAGTATATGTTCCAATGAATAATAAAAAACAGCACCTGTTGTGAGTTTGACAGCAGACATGTGGACAAGAGTTTTAAAGAGAGAAACTGAGTCCAAACACAGAAGAAACAAAATACTTGTCTTCAGTATTACTGTAAATAGTCACCATGAGCCTAGCGTTRGTAAGCGCTGCAYCACGATAGCTCAGTGGTTAGCATTGATACCTCACAGCAAGAAGGTCCTGGGTTCGATCTCCGCTTCTGACCCAGGACTTTCTGTGRGATGTTTGCYTGTTTGGTTTTTCTCCCACAGACCAAAACCATGTTGCCTTCAGGTCCAAGCCTCTCTTGCAATCTTAGTGGGATTTGCCTGATTAAGTCAAATAAAATGCATCCCCCATGGTGTTTTTTAACACGTCATTGATTTAAAAAAAAAAACGAGGTGTTTATTTAAAAAATACAAAAGGAAAAATAAACTTATTACTATTTTAAAAACACCAATTTATCCAAAATAACAAGAATAAACTACAAAATAGACCAAAGTACTTTCATTTTATTGAAGACAGCCAAGTAGATGAAATGACAAAGGTTTTGACCAGCAGAGGGATTTAAGAGTACATGAAGC